TACCCCATGCCTGGGGTTGACAAGATGTCCTGCTGAGCCCAGAGTCTTTTGCACTCTGTAGTTGTTCTGGACCAATGACCTCCCCTGGTTCCAGGAGGGTGCCCTCGCAAGTGAAACATTCACTTCTGCTGGCCAGAATGATATTATATAAGATTGAACCACTAAATTGTTGCTGCATTGATTTCGGGTTACTCAAAGTGTTTATATAGAAAATGGGCTGGAAAAAAATTGAATTGGGCCCCTCACACTCTAGGACAATTCCAAGACAATTCTCTAACAATTCCAAGTCCTCAAGGGCCTTGTAAAAGTATACCTGAGTGAAAAATAGCCCAGAAAACTTCAAGGATTTTGACTTGGGCTTTTGTATGTGCAACTACTAAACCACAGATAAGGTGATACACACTTTGTTATCTGAGTATCTACTGAATCACGAGATTCAAGCCTTCTATGACTAAATACCCTATGCCGTGAGATGGGTGGAGTTAATGTTCTCTCCACATTCCTAATGGATTTTCTAGAGGAAAAAGTCACCCACAAGCCAGTGTTTCTCATCAGGGGCACTCTTGTCATTTTCAGAAGGGCAAGCTAAAGTATTCTCTACTCATTGGTGTTTAGAATCTTTGTCCCCTATTTAATGAATATCAGCTGCACTTTGCAGTCATGGTGACATCTAAACATGTAGCCCCCTCTTTCCACCAACATAAGTGAATATTTACTCTCACTCTCTGGAGGACTGACACTTATCTCCAGTCCAAGAGCCAACAGATAGATAATGCAAACCGCAAATGTGAGTCACATATGTAATTTTTAATTTTTTAGTAGCAACATTAAGAAAAGTGAAAAGAGACAGGTGAGATGAATCTTAGTAATAAATTTTATTTAAACCACTGTAAGAATATGTTATGTTAACTGTAATCAAGAAAACATTATTAATTAGATATTGTATATATACTTTTGTACTAAGTTTTCAAAATCTTATACATATTTATAATGAAGTATTTAGTTTGGAATAGCCACAATTCAAGTGCTCAATAGCCACATATGACTAATGAATAAAAGTGGTATTAGATGAATAGATATTCCCAAAGTTCACTGCCATAGGAGCCTGCTGATGCCTGGGACAAAATGAGACTGACTTACCTTTACCAGTTAGGTAGCTGATCAGGTATGTAACAAGATGTACCTGGGATTTATGGGACAGCTGGGTCAAGTCTATGAAAGAATGTTCTTCTCACCTAGCAATAGTTTAACTGGGCTAAAAACGCGTGTATTTACCCTTTTGATCCTGCTTAAGGGTACCTTTCTACATGTGATGCATAAAAATAAACTTATCTACTATATTAAAGTGTCATTTTCTACAGGCATTTTTAAACTGGATGTGTCCACAAGTCTCTATTCAAAGGACCTTAGGTTTTGAAGTACTCAGTGTATTTCCAAACTCCTCATGCTTTTTATTTTTATAATTTTAATTATGAAAATCAAAATTTTCAACCTATTTTTTATAGATCTAGTTTGACTCTCAAAATCATTTTAGAGCTTTCTTTGTTTCTCTTCCAGAGTTTTCATTGTTAAAAATGTTCTTTTTCTATCATTGAAATCTAAGATTTTTAATAAAGTTAACATCAGAATTTAACTGTTATTCTTTGTTCTGAAGAATAAGAAGCCTAATTGATCCAACCACCTGGTGGCTGGAAATGTCTCGCTGTTTGGAATGGGTCTACCTCATCAATCTCTATGTCCCATCTGTACTGTGAAAATTTTGTAACTTTAAAAATGAATTAATCATTTACATTTAAAGAGTAGAATTTTATTGCTAATTGCAGATTGTGAATAATAATTTATGGATGTACAGTAAGGCAAGTATACCAATGAGAGAAATAAAAGGAAAATATTCATTCACTGTGCATAATGGAAAAATCCCATGATTCAAGATGATCCCCAAGAGTGCCTTAGTTAGGTTTGGGACAACTTCACAAATGACACCAAAAAATGAAAATCTCTCATAATAAAAAAAGTATTTAAGTATTAACTGCACATGTTCATATTTGAATAAAATAAATTTTGGTCCCCAAACTGAAGCTCTGCATAAGATCTAGATAGCAATAAATGTGTTTTCAATCAAATAGAAGTTTCTTATAGCATTCAGTAGCAGAGTTACTAGGCTATGAGAGTAACTTGTTATATCAGTGTTCCAAAATTAATAGTATCAAGTATTATAAATTATAAAAACAGCAACAACAAAATTTGTCTCTGGTTAAGACCTGCAAATGTTAAGTAAGGAAGTGTTCATTACAATGACAGGGAATAAATTTGTCTCTAATAGTTCTTACTGACATATTGGTAACATTTTTGTGTAGTCTTTGTAAGAGTTAATATTAACTTAAATCTTTGTACCTAATATTGAGCTTAATTGGAGTCTAAATCCCTTCCATATATATATATATAAACTATATATATATATATATATATATATATATATATATATATATATGATTTAGACTCCAGTTAAGTGTATGTGTGTGTATATATATATATATATATATATATATATATATACTAATAAAAGGATAATATGCTAATTAGACCAGGTTGACTGGCCATCTTCCGGATGTCTGACTTCCTTCTACACAAAGGCATGATAGTGGGGGCCGAGGCAGAGGCAGTTAGGGGTGATCAGGCTGGCAGGGGAGAGCAGTTGGGGGCGAGATCAGGCCAGCAGGGGAGGGCAGTTGAGGACAACCAGGCCAGCAGGGGAGGGCAGTTGGGGGCAAATAGGCTGGCAGGGGAGGGCCATTGGGGGTGACGAGGCCTGCAGAGGAGGGCTGTTGGAGGCAACCAGGCCAGCAGGGGAGGGACATTGGGGGATCGGGCCTAAACCGGCAGTTGGACATCCCCCAAGGGGTCCCGGATTAGAGAGGGTGCAGGCCAGGCTGAGGGACCACCATCCCCCCCATGCACAAATTTTGTGCACCGTGCCTCTAGTATACTAATAAAGGGTAATATGCAAATTAAACTGGACGTGTTCTGGATGTCCTTCCTAACAAAGCTGGGGGTGTGGCCTGCAAACCATCCCAGGCCCCTCACCCAGGCCGCCCCGCCCCAGCAGGAACCCCCACCCCAAATGAGGGCATGGCTGGCCTGCAAACTGGGCCAGGCCCCTCACCCAGGCTGGCCCCACCCCCCAGTGAGGACCCACCACCCAGATCTGGGGCCCCCTTCAGGGCATGCCAGCCAGCCCCCACCCATGCACCAGGCCTCTATCCTATATAACAAATTGGTATTATGCAAATTGACCCTAACAGCAGAACCACCAGAACGACCACTGAACCAGTCACTATGAGGTGCACTGACCACCTCTTGGTCCCTTTTCCCAGCTGGCAGGCTTTGATCACCTGATGGCCACCAGCTGCAGGGGCAGGCCGGCAAGAGGGCAGGAACAACCAACCTCTGGATATCTTCCCCCCACTGTCAGGCACCGATCACCCATGGCAAATGGGGAACCGGGGCTGGGTGGTGGCGGGGGGGACAAGGCCGGCTGCGGGCAGCTGGGGAAGATGGCCCTGATCGCAGGCCAGGCCTAGGGACCATACCTGCACAAGAATTTCATGCGCCAGGCCTCTAGTATATACAGTGGGGCCTTGACTTATGAGTTTAATTCGTTCTGAGACCGAGCTCATTAAGGAGCTCGTTAACTCAAATTACTCAATCAACTCAATGCAAAAAATCGGCCGAGAGACAGCTGTTATCTCAAAAAACTCGTTAGTCGGGACACTCGTAAGTCAAGGCCCCATTGTATATATTATCTTAAGTTTTACATATGTCTCCTTTCTCCCCAATTGACTGCCCCCAACCATTCTCACCCTGGGCAAGCCCCCACAGCCCTAGTGTCTGTGTCCATTGGTTATGCTAATATGCATGCATACAAGTCCTTTGGTTGCTCTCTAACCACCCCCCCTCCCCTGCCATTTGTCTATTTTTGTTCATCAAAGTATGTTGATCATTATATCCCACATATGAGTGAGATCATGTGATATTTATCTTTCTCCGACTGGCTTATTTTGCTTAGCATAGCATTTTTAGATTTTTCACACAGAATAAATATCAAAGAGAAAACAGAGCCCAGGATTAACTTATCATTTTTTATTGTAACAAATTCTGTATGAATTAATTACATGTTTAGGGATTCTGAATTAAATAATTATATTGGAAAATGTGTAATTCTGTGCTTGATGCTTTCCATATTTTTTTCCTTTCTCCTTTCATTCCAAGGTTACATATATTTTATATACTCCAAAGCCAATAAAATTGCCACTAACCCAAATAATTTTTTTATCTACTGGATAAAAAGAATCCTTTCAAAGGTCTTTTTGAAAATAGACTTAGAAGTTTTTCCAGGTATTATAAGATTTACAAAACAAAACATGCCAGAACATATGAAATTCTGGAAGTAAGGTTTATACCTGGTATAGGGATCATGCAGGTGAGCAAAAAAGGATTCCAGAAGCTAGAAATGAAAAGCTTTTAGAAATCAGGGAATGCCTCTCCATTCTCTTGTCTTGGAATTGAAGACATACACCTGAGTTTCTACTCACTGGACTATCAATTAACCCAATTATATAAGAAGTCTTTTAAAAGTTTTAAATGATGAAAAACTCAATACTCCACAAATATTTGCTCTTATTTTTTATTTTTAAAAAAGTAGAAAAAGAGATGACGAGACTTTCAAATTATATATCCATGTGTTTATCAGTGTATGGGCCACATGTTTTATGCTGCTCTGAGGTACCATTGAGTAGACTAACAGTAGGTACTATTTTTTTTTTCATTCTCTCAGTGTATGTTTATGCATGTTGGTTTGGAAATATAAACACATTCAAAAAATGTGTGGGGGGCTGAGGAGGAATGTGGTAGTAAACAGTTGCTCAAATACATTTTTAAGAACTTAATTGCAGAATTGACACAATATGTTTAACCTAATGTGAATAGTTCCTTCTTCACAGGAGGCTTCATGGAGACTGAAGCTGCGGCTCAGGAGTCCCTGGGGTTAGGCAAACTTGGAACTCAAGCCGAGAAGGATAGAAGACTGAAGAAAAAGTAGGTTTGGAGATTTTTTCCCTCCTTTTTTAAACTTTAATTTACACTTTGTCATTGCTTATAGGGAATTTAGAAAGAGACTAGTTGGAAGAAAACAACCGACTGAGGCAGATATTGCTCTGGTATTTCCTAAAAGTATTCAGTGCTCGAGTTTTCTTGTTATAATAGGCTAGAGTTTGAAATAACATTTCTCTAAATATAGTTATTTCAAAACACAAGTATATTAACATCTTTAAATGCAGCCTTACAAATAGTGTCATAGTCTGATGTGACATTCAGTACTGTACTGTATTAGTATGACAAAATGAGAGAGTATGCCATTCATCTTTGTGTTTCTTCTCAGGACAAAGTATCTCCTCTTAAAATGGAATATTGAAAAGGAGAAATTCCTCTGAGTGATTGAATATAAACTAATTTTAGACTCACAGCAGATTGTTTTGCATCTGTCAGGAAACTGATAGTGTATCTTTTCATTCACATATAATATGGAACATTTAAGTAACTTACAGAATTGGCAAATTTTGAGTCCCACCAGCTATTGGAAAGCAAGTGGATCCATAAATAACATTTTTTGAATACATAATCACATTTTCAGTGAGGAAATAGCACCTTTAGAATATATTTTTAAAAGCTAAAGAATTTCTCTTTATTCCAGAATCTATTGGGTGGTTACTCCGCAACTGTTCATGGCTCTAGTCATCATTGTAGCAGAGATTCTAACATAGATGCTCTCATGGTTATAGCATTCAGACTAATCAGCTTCTTATGTTGCCAGCTCACTTGCATTGCAGATGTTTACTAATAAGGAGGAAATATGTACTTACAAGTTGCAGAACGACTCACTAGCCAAGTTGTTTCATTAATTTGCTACTTATGAAAATTAGGTATTTATCCAAATTAAGTAGAAATACTGTGCAGAAAATAAAAGTAACATTGAAAACATTTTTAAAATACAATGAAATGTTCAGTGGCATTCCGTACTAGCAAACATTTTCTTTAGTTAATTATACCTCAAAATGTATATTTAAACATTACCATAATATGCTTGAAATCTCTTAATTTTATTTATTCCTATCAAGGATTGTTATATTCAATTTTATGGTTATATATTGAGAGAGAGAAATTAAAAATCTTCTTTGATAGATTCTTTAAAATTTATTTCAAGTCTAAAGGATTTTTAATTTTATTCTCTGAAAATTACTTTACATCTAACGGAATAAGAAGAGTCAAAACCCAGTCTAATAGACTTCGCTTACTTCTCTTAAAAGTTATTTTTTTGCCCTAGCCAGTTTTGCTCAGTGGATAGAGCATCGGCCTGTGGACCTAAGGGTCCCAGGTTTGATTCCAGTCAGGGGCACATGCCTGGGTTTTGGTCTCGGTCCAACATGTAGGAAGCAGCCAATCAATGATTCCCTCTCATCATTGGTGTTTCTATCTCTCTCTTCCTCTCCCTTCCTCTCTGAAATCAATGAAGGTATATTTTTTATTTTTCCCTCAATGAAATATTTACATACAATGGCAACCGGGCCACCTTTCACATTGCATACAAGGTTGATATTGAGGCATGCTTTACATAGTTCATTTTTTTTTATGGGACCAAATTAAATGTCTCTTTTGATGGCTGCTAAAGTTAAATATCCCAATTATACAATGATCTTAAAATATTTATTATTATTAGCTATTATTAACTTTAAATACTGTTGGATTGATTAGATATTAATGTTATGGAATTATTTTTCAAATCCTACGTAACCTCATAGGCAGAAACTGATTTTAGTTCTGGATTGAGTTTGAAAATATTACTATGCTTGACTTTTGAGTTTATTTTGCAATATGTTTAGGCAAAATATGATTTTAAAATATATTAAATAGAATACTTGTCACTAATATAAGAATAATATGAAAGCATTATTTAATATAATACAAAGTAACATTTATTAGTTAATTATTTTCTATAGAATAATAGTACTTGGATTAAAGTGAATCCAACGAAGTTAATTAATGGAAGCAAGTATTTCTTTTATTATTGTTTATCCCATAGTAAGAACCCTCTGACCATAAATATATAACAAGGATGTGTGAGATGTATATATAGTGCTAACACTTATTCAGGACTTGCATTACGTTATACTGTGGTTTCTGGGTTACTAAAAGGTGAAGTGTTTTCATGTGATGAGTTATATAAGATAGACAAGATAAATTATCCTTAAGTTTTCTAAAGTATTTAAAATTTTATTGAAACAATTCCATTTTTTCTTTTTTCTAAAGATACACTGTCCTCTTTAAATGTGTTTCTAGGAATACAATTTTCTGTGTTAAATTTTCATGTGCATTAATCTTCTTTCAGGATGGAAAATAAGTCAAGTACATTTTATTAGAAAGATAAACAAAACCATAAAATGGAACAACTTCTTTCAAAAAGTTGAACACTATGAGTTGTGCATTTTAGTTGCTATGACCATGGTTTCCTACCATTTTTTTTTATTCTAGTCTTTGGCCAAAAAGTAATGTTTCTAGAACAAAGTACTTTGATCAATATTCACTGTCCCAAAGTTGACATCAGAGATTCATTAGTCGCTGAAGGAATTGGCAGACCTGGAGAAAATTTTTATTTTTAACTTTCCTAAGACGTCAGGTATTTAAAATGGACAATCTGTGATTCTTAATTTAATTGGGAATAATTTTCTTTAAAGATGTTAGTTATGGCACATTTTTAAAAACCATACGTTCATAGAGCAATATTCAAGACATTCTGAATTTTTGCAAAGTTCAGAAATTTGTAATGTTGCCAGTCCCAAAAGAAAAGTCTAATTTGAGGTACATTTACCATCCAGCAAACTGAGCACACAAGATTTAGAACCAGCTTACTAGATCTGTGTTCCTACTTTATTATAGTTTAACTTTTCTTTCTGGTACAGGCATTTGTTTTTCTTATGTTTCTAGCTGTTGTCCTATGATGAGAAATAGAAAATCAACAATACTGGATCTGCTAAAGCACCCACTATTCAAAAACATCTTATCAACCTTCACCTTTCTGAGCTGGGTATGATCACACAGGTGCTATTCTTTCATCAGAACATCTAACCTAGCCTAAGTCAATCTATTATTATTCTTAAGGTTCACATTTACTATGCCTTATTTCTGCTATACTTTCCTTTAAAACTTAAATTCCTTAATTTTTTCCAACAGGTTTGTGTAGAGTGCTGCTAATACCAATAATAATTGTGTCAAACTGACAGTTCAGCTTTGGGTATTTTACATTAATTTTTCTGGCCTTCACCCTTAAAACTTGTCCAATTTTTCTGTAGCCCACATGGTATAGCTCCTAATCTTTAAGGATTTAGTCACTTATTATTCTTATTATAGATCTTGGTATTAAAAATATGATTTCTCACAATTTTCTTGATGTCAAGTCCCTCTGGAGGGTCACTACTCTCTGAGATCTTGTCCATCAGCTTCAGTTTGATTTAATTGGACTACAAGCACTTTTCTGATTAACACAAACTAAGCATCTCTATTTCTGAGGCTCACATTACAAACAACTGGACCTAAGAACTTGTCCTCTTTCCTTTTGTACCTGTCACCCGATCTTCAAGAATGTATTTCCCTTTTTTAGCTCTCCAGCAATGTTTTAGGCTAATACCTAAAGTTACTTGTTCAAGCTGGTCAACCACAGCTACAAAAAATAACTGCATGACATAATAGGCCTACTGTAGGGCCAAAAACTTACATGGTCTGGCACATCAAAAACCTCAATTTCTGAATGTTCTTTGACTGCATGAATCCATGAATTTCACTTAGAATATAGATGTGGTATTTTAAGGACTCAGAAAATGGAATCTCTGCTCTTTGACTAAAGTTTAGAATCTATTTGATGCTAGACAAAAGAGTCAGACAATTAGAGACCACAATGCCAGCTTTATTGCTGACAGAGCTGTTAGAACATGACTTAAGTATATGGGGAAAAAGAGGGTTTTCTAAAACTGAATCCCCAAAGTTGATAAACTTACCTGACACAGAAAGAGTCACAGGCTTCCAAGATGCACAAGTGTGGCCCCACGCCTCCTTCAGAATAGCATCTACAATATCCCGAGTCCATCAATACGTTAATCTGGAATCAAGGACCATAAACTCACAAGGAAGGAGATGAAATGTTATGTCATTAGCATCTTTGCCTGAAGAAGAACTTTCTGAAATACCAATGTCAAATGTGTTGGTATTAATGTCTCACCAGATTTCTTACCTTACTGTTCTCTCCTGGAATATATTTAACTGCCAATTACCCATATCACCTCTCTGGGAATGTGATGATAGGGTGTGTGGCAAACTCCCTAAATACTTAGAGTTCTGAAAATATATTATACATCTAAAATTAGTTAATAATTGCCCAAACTGTAAAACTATTGATTTAAAATAATTTTCCCTCAAAACTTTGAAAGTATTACTCTTCCTGCTTCCAGTTTTGCCCACTGTCAATTGCTTGTCATTCTTTCATACTTAACATGTAGGGTTTCTTTATTCTCTCTCTCTCTCTCTCTCTCTCTCTCTCTCTCTCTCTCTCTCTCTCTGAAAGTTTAAGGTTTTTCTCTTTATCTTTGGGGTTCAGAAATGTTATAAGTATGTTTATAATCAAATGTTTTTTATGTTTCATTTTATTCTTTATACTTTTAATCTGAAGATTTGTTAGACTGGACTCTTACACATATTGACCTAAATGACTTTTATTTCTAGATTCAACTTTATTTCCAAGAAACTAATTTTTACAGATACTATGGCATTGAAGATGAAGTTGTCTGATTCAGTAGCATTGCACCTGCCTAGCACTCAGGACAGTCCTTAACAGGCAGTGAACACATTAAAATTCATGTATATCCAGTGGATGGTTACTTATCTCCAGAAATATAAATTCTGAACATTTTATATCAATTTTTTATCTGCTATCATTTCCCCTTATATTCTAACACTGTACAATTTTTTGCTAAAACATATATTCATGATGA